AAGGTTTATTTACTTGTTTATTTATTTATTTAGGCAGAGAGAGAGTGAGAGAGTGAGAGAGAAAGAGAGAGAGAAGGAGAGAGAGAGAGAAAGAAAGAAAGAGAGAGAAAGAGAGAGAGAAAGAGAGAGAGAGAGAAAGAGAGAGAGAGAAAGAGAGAGAGAGAGAGAGAATGAATGAATGAATCTGACTTGGGACTCCATCTACAAACCACAAGATCATGACCTGAGCCAAAATCAAGAGTCCAATGCTTAACCACTGAGCCACTGAGGTCCCCTGCAACTATTCTGTTAATCTAAAATTACTTTATAATAAAAAGTAAAATAATATAAGGGGATTAGCTGTTTGGAGCCTGAAGAGACCTGGCTTTTTATAGATATCAGGGCTCCAGGATTAGCTCAAGGCTATATAGTGTGTTTGCTGTAGGTATCTGACCCCCAGCTCGATATTCTTCCCCTCAGTTGTGTTGCTCCTGAGGAGTGGACCAATTCTGCTTCACCTGAACAGCTCACTCAGTGCTGTCTGCTGGCACAAATCCAGGGATCTTCCTTAGGTTATTCTACTTTCCTAAGATGATAAGACATCCCAGCACAAATGCACTGGATCAGTAAAACTGATCCAACTGTAAAGCCAGAGGCCAGAAGACTTAGTCACCAAGTTCATTACCTATTTACTCAATATCCAAGGTCAATACCGTTCAATAGCACAGAGTAAAGTGTGGTACCATTAGATGACAAAGGTGAAACATCCACAGAAGCACTGGTCTGGGCTAATATATCAGCTACGTTTCATTATCTTTCAATTGGTCAGAGATTCTCCTACAAAGTGCCATTAAAATAAAAAAAAAAAAATCATAAGGATGAAGGAGCTAATTATCACATTCTAGGCCCTGACTCCATTCAGGCTATCAACCATCAACACAATTTGAATAGGGGCGAACATTCTACATTCCAGTTGTAGAATGACATATGAAAGTCTTTTTATGTGTCCTGCAAGAAAATTTTATTTCTTGTTTCTGTAGGATATGCTTACAACTTTAAAATAAACAATGGAAAGGTAGCAATGAGCAGAAGTCCTTATTTTGTTGCACTTTGACTCAGGAGATTCACTTGTAAATTTTGGAGATTTAATTTTTTTAAGGCAAGGTCCCAGGGTTTTCCATTGGTGTCAACAGAGGACCATAGTCTACAACCTTATATGAGCAATTACTGTGCTCTAAAGTTTTCAGAATATGGATCTCTAAAGTGGGCTGATGCTTGGATAATTTGTCTTTTTATTTGATGTGGGCTGGGTTTGTTTTTAACTACGTAAGATTTATTTTTCTATTAAAAAATTATTTTTGCATTTATTTATTTTTGAGACACAGAGAGAGACAGAATATGAGTGGGAAGGGGCAGAGAGAGAGGGAGACACAGAATCTGAAGCAGGCTCCAGTCTCTGAGCCGCCAGCACAGAGCCCAACGCGGGGTTCGAACTGAGGAGCTGTGGGATCATGACCTGAGCTGAAGTCGGATGCTTAACTGACTGAGCCACTCAGGCGCCCTTATTTTTCTATTTAAAGAAAAGTTAGCCTAAATTTTTGACTCTCATATTTTCCATGCCTTCCAGGTAATGGAGCACTTGTTCCATGGGGGAGGGGAGGAATTACTGGGTCATATTTAGAGGTTAACTTCTTCTAGACAGCACCTTTCTTTGGACTGATCAGCACTAATTACTGACCAGTTGTGTTAAAAAATAACCCTGTTCCTCAAGAGGTCTGTGAAAAGAAAGGGAAACAGGTCACACATTAGCTTGTCTCAAAAAAGAGCTCTTATATCACAGACACGAGGATTCGCTGCACTCTCAGAGAATGAGCTTGCTCTCAGAGTCCTGAAATACAGGTTTCCTTGGGTGGATTTGCTGAAAAGATTCCAGCTTTAGTACCTAAGATGAAACAAAGAATCTAGCTGACGGTCAGGTAACTTCTGGCAGGAAGAAGGCCTGAGATGGAAGCAACTATTCAAGGAAAAAATAAAACCTTGCAATGTAGCATATAATGTTAAAAATACAGCCCATGGTATATGGGATTTGGAGAAGAAAATGTTCTCTTTCTTCATCAACTATCCTCTTCCTTTGGCCCAATTTATTTCCCTATAGTCATAAAGCCTTACAAGCTTTGCAAGAATGCTAGGCATTTTGTAATGAGGAGATATATTCTCCACTTACTGAGAATGTGTTTCTGTTCAGGGAAATCCAAACGCCAACATGGCTGTTGCTGTTTTAGCAAGACATAGATCTCGGGGCTGCATCTTGAAAAAGTAGATATGGCTTGTGTGATACAAACGCATTTGCTTATGTTTGATGTCTACTATTAAATATTCAATATTATTTATGATGATTTATGCTAGAAGAACTAAAAGAAATGAAGAAATCCAGCATTCCCTGAATTCTTCATGGCTGTAAATGAGGTAGGGAAGCAGAAGAGACTCCATTTTAGACAGGCTCCATCTCTGCTGTTTTTCTACTAGACCTCATTTCTGAATAAGCCAAAGGAACTATGTTCCCACTTCTAAGGGGAAGCAAGAAAGTTAATCTGAATTTTGTTTTAGGTCCCAAACATCTGATAACATCTAAGAAGAGCCAAAACCCAAACATGTTCCAGGACATTATCTTCCAACAAACCACGGCCTACACTGGCATCAACACCCCCTACCTTCAGTGATTTATGGAATAACAGCTATTGGTCACCCAACACTTGCAGTTGATCAGACCCTACCCTGGATTCCTGGAGAAACACATACCTCAGACCCCTTTCCCGTATAAAACCCTAATCCCAAGCGATGCTGAAACTCATTCTCCTTTCCTTTCTGAGTCTCCCAGACACTCCATCTGCTATTTTCTGTCTGTCACTCATGCTATTCAATAAATTCTGCTTTCACTTTCTCCAGATTATATTTGATTTCTTCCTGCATGAAGCCCAGGACCCTTTTACTGGTCCTGCGGGAGACCCCTCTGGGTCCCAGCCTGCCTATATCATAAGTATATGGTAAAAATTATAGTTATATTTGTGTCAACATTCCACTTTTTATGGGTTCCTTTTTGGAGCCAGGGATGGTCCTTTGGTGGCTGTAATGGTTTTTAGGTTATATCTATCTCTGTTTGTCTGTTTATCTACAGGTATATCTATTGTTCTTTTTTGTTTCCTTAGTTGTTGGTGGTAAATATACAGGATCTCAGAGTCTTTTTCTGCTAAAGGCGGCACAATTATAGATATTTGAAGATTAACACCAGTACAAGGAATATCCACAGAAAGTAGTTCTAGTACCATAACACTCCAAGTAATGGAGACATTATTACATACAAATAAAAATCTGTATCGTATTTGAGTCCAGTTTCTTTCAGATACCACTTTTCTTTGGGCTGATCAGCACCAATTACTGACTAGTGCTGTAACTGGTTAGGTTTTTTGGTCCCACAAAATACAGTAGGAAACAGGCAGCGCAAATGAATGAATCCTGCATCTCCTAATTACAAGGCTGGCAACCTCTTCCTCCAAACCCTCAATCTTCTTAAGTTCTCAGAGAAAATTTTCCCTTGGCTGTAGCTTATCTTCTTGTCCTTTCTAATCTCTCCCAGTTTATATTCATGTTGTGATGCTGTTACATTCCTTATAGTCAAAATGGATCATCAGCCAGTTGCTCAGACAAAGGAAACAGCCACTAATCAATGCAAAGCATAGTCAGAAATTTACCTTAGTTCCTTGAAGGGGTCTGCCCTGACATTAGGTGTCTCTATAGATTTAGGGAACACTGTGCCCTCCGCTCCTGTAAACAAAAGAAAAAAGCAAACAGAGGTTGGAGACTTTGCATGTCACCTGGGGACACGATCAGCACAATGAGTGGAGCTAAATGTAGTGAATCCTTCACACAGCCCAAAGCACACATTTTGCCATTGGCTTTATACCTTTGCAGTGAGGACTGAATCAAATCATGCAAACAGCCTGTGAAAAAACAAGGAGCTTCTTTTGAAAGTGTTCTTGCTGAGATCAGAGTGAGGCCATGAGGCAAATACAATGTTAACATTAAAAAAAAAAAAAAAAACCTAGAAATGGCACAGTCTAACTCTTGTCTCTCATCAACTATTAATAGTTACCCAACTGGAAATGTTTTGAAAAACAGCAGCTGAAGCCCTCTTCTTTCAGTGTGGGGCACAAATCATAGAACACATACAACATCTCAGCAGTGGGTGGATGGTGGAGAACACTATAACACTGTAAACTATTCACCTAATAAAATCTAGCAAAAACATTTTTCCCTAAAGTTCTACACTATTATCTTGAAAAGTTAAACAAAACAGAACACTGTGAGAGATCATTTGAAGTTCAGTGCTTTCACACTTTGAGTATTATTCAACATTGATCCCCAACCCAATCTAGACAGTTAGCTCTTGACCTTTCTACAAGCTTTTATCTTTACAACTTGTTATCACCAGCTGAACCTTCCCAGCCATAGAGGTGGTGATTATCTGATTTGTCTGCTCCCAAAGTGTTTTTCAACTCATTTACGCCTTAGTTTATCACGGACAATTGCACTGAATATTAGTTTTTCAATTAAACTTAGCTAGGCAGTATCCTGCACTTTGAAGTAAAGGTGTTGATTTTTATACATTTTTTTGGTGTAGTTCTTTGAAGCCACAAAAAGGGGCAGAATAATACCTTGTATGCATGTGTGAATTTCTAGAATCCTCTTGCATTGCTATGATGTCTAGAATTCCTCCATTAACCACTGATATTACAAATCCAGATTTATCTTAGCTAAGTCTAGGAAAATGAAATGATTTCTTGACTTTTGTAGCAATTGTAAAAATATTTAATCTTTTTGATACAAGCAAGACTACTGCAAGTAAAATCAGCAAACAATGCCTCAAATTTTAACATCATGGATGGTCACTAAAGTATCCTGGTAAATGATAACTATTAATCTGAGCTAGCATTTTGAGTGACTACTACAAGCCAGATACCATCATGTACACATCATATGTACTAGCTCATTTATTGCCTGCAACCACCCTACCAACGGTTGCAGTAGGCAAAGAGACGTTTAGTGTGGGGACATTAAAGATCTTTTTCTGCCCATAGACACTTTTGCCTTTCAAGACACCAACCCACCACCTTTCAAATATATCAAAATGTACCCACAGTCTCAATTATATACAACATTTTTTGATGTAAATTTCCTAAGCATGTTGTTTTATTATGCATACACTATTTTGCCCTAGTGATTTAAACTTTATTATGTTCTTTATAAATGTGGTGGTTCATTTTATGTGTCAGCTTGACTTGGATCATGAGGTAATCAGATACTGAGCTAAACACAACCTCTGGGTGTGAGGGTGTTTCTAGATGAGAGTAGCATCAAAGGACTTAGCAGAGCAGTGTGGCCTCCCCAGTGTGGGTGAGCATCAGCCAATCCTGTTGAGGGCCCGACTAGAACAAAATGGCGGAGGAAGGAAGAATTAGGTTCTTCCTGTCTAACTGCTTGAATTGGGATATCAATCTTCTCCTGCCATCAGTGCTCCTTGTTCTCAGGCCTTAATACCCAGACTGGAATCTACACCATTGACTGCACTGGTTCTCAGTGAGCCTTGGGACTCATTCTGAATTATGTCATGAACTTTCCTGGGTCTCCATCTTATAGACAGCAGATTGTGGGACTCCTTAGCTTCTATAATGACTTGAACCAGTTTCTTATAATGACTTTCTTCCCATAGGTATATCCATATTGACTCTGTTTCTCTGAAGAATCCTGACTAACACAATAAGTGAATAAGATTGGGTTGGATTATAGACTATAATGTGGCTTTTGTTACACATGTATTAAATTTTGTTTTACAGAGCATACAATCCACATCTCCAAGATTTTTGTGATCCTTTGAAGAGTGCCTAGACGAAAGATACTGTAGAGGGTGCCTAGTAGGTAAAATAGGCCAGGAGAAATCACGGGACAATGAGTGACACACTGGGATGTGGTTCTAAAGTGTCTGACCCAAGAGCATGGCCTTAGTCACCTCTCAGTACCATCTCAAACCTGTTATTGAGCAATTCCCATCTGTCACTACTGCAATTAACAGGGGCTTCCCTTGAAATCCCTTCCCTTTCTATTCCTTAGAGATGCTTAGTTCTGAGACACTGGAACCTATTGTTGTTGTTGTTGTTGTTGTTGTTGTTGTTTTTAATGATTAAAAGGAACAATTACACACCTGATTAAGGCTAGGAAAGTTATTTCTGTTTACATACACTGTGTCGACTCTTTAGTACCAGCTCATATCTCCCCTTCCTCTACTAAGAAAACTATGAAAACTGCATGAGAAAGAGCATTACCTCCCTTAAAATCAACCCTAATTGTCTGACTTACCGATACAGCAATTAGTACTGCTCATAGACAACCTTCATTATTTGAACTGGTATTAAAATGCTGTGAGGCTTTGTGTTTCACTGATATCTCCTGTATCCTCCTATCATTTTATAAGGCCCCTTGAAGCCCAAGAATACCTACTTCTTAGGACTATGCAAAATATATACATATATAAGGATATATACTACATTTATTCAGTTCAATTGTCCAAAAATGAAGAATGCCATTTTCTTAAAATGAACCTCAAAAGCATGCACTATTTTCTTTATTTTATTCAAGCTTTGTGCTGCGTCTGTTTCTCCATTTGTCAGATACACTGACCGAACCTCATTTGCCACTTCTTAACATCTGGCTGTACTAAGCTCAGGAAGGAAGTGCTGTACCACAGCCAGTGGCCCCTCGCTCTGCCACCCTTTTAAAGAAATTCCAAGGGGGATAAAAAAGGTTATATGAAGTCATCTAATACATTATGGGTGCTCACCATATGCTTGTGGAACAACCATGGTCTCCGAAGGTCACACAAAGAATACAGACAGATTCAATTTTAGGTTCCCTAGGCTTCCACCGGACGCCTTACTGGCATCCAATTTGGTACTACTTATTTCCAATTGGTACTAATACTTCTATGGGAGTACTAATTTACTGTCATAAAACTCCTCATGTATCACATTGCATTTTTAATGAATGTCCAAAATCCAACTCCTTTTAACTGTGCCTCTTAAAATAGAAGAGCTATGCTAAGAAGAGAATATTATTTGGGCTAAATACAAATATTGCTTTAAAATAAAATGAGATCAAAGGTCTGTAGTTTATTCCCCAGACCAAGAAAACTAATTGTCCTACAAGACAAGTGGGGCTAAAAAACAGGGGCTCACAGTCACATGACTAGTGAATGCCTGAGCTGAGATTCATATGCAGGCATCTGAACCAAGGCCCTACTTTTAGCCACTATACCCTAGTGTCTTGTTTTCTGAATGCCAGGAGAATGTGGCACCCATAAGGTGGCAAGACAGCAAAACCCAGGGGTCTAGGCTCTCATAGAGGATCTGGGTGGCTGACGGGCTCTGGATGTGGGATCAAAGTGAAGGGCAAGACACTCACTAAGGCTCCTTTTGCTCCCACCATCCAACCAGATGCCCTCTGATTTTGTTTTTGATGCACTTTGCCACAGGGGCCCATACGTGCCATCCATTCTGGAAAACAGACTCACAGATATGACTTCTCAGGGGAATGTACCAGAATTTCTCATTATCTGAGTGTCCTTGGGCATGAAACCCAATCTCTATGATGCTCAGTTTTCTTCTCTGAAAAGAAAGGATATTAATGGTAACTTTATCTCCTAGGGGTCTTGGAAGATTGAACGAGATCTTTGGCACATAGAAATCAGCAGATGATAGTCAATAAGATACTGCTTATAGTACTAAAATATTTATGAAACCTATTTTTTCCTCCCCTTATCCAGGTCCTCTATGACTCTTAAAAGTGACATTTTTAAAGCACATACTAGAAACTAGAAATTATGGAAATTGTTTTAATTTGATCATTATTATGAGGTAGGGACTATGCATGTCTGTTGCTACGGATGTGGAATCTGACACTCAGGGAAGTCAGGGTATTTTCCTATGGTTGCACAGTGAAAAGGAGGTGTCAGAACCTGAACTCTCATCTTTTGGCCCTGGAACCAATGTCTGTGACTACTATTCTAGACTGTCTCTTTCATTATATTAAATCATTCTCTACTTGTTCAGCTTTTTATGAGATATGAACAAATCCCAATGTTTATACCCTCAAGTAACACTTGCTAAATCTCCCCTCACCTCTCTTCTGAAAACAATCCACATGCACAATGAGATGAGATATTAATACTTTTCAAAAACACCATTTATTTCCAAGTCCTATCAGGCTTCTGCTTTTAACACCATTCTTCACTCTTTTAGAAGCTGCAGAGTGGACAAACATCCATCAGGATGAATTCTCCCATCCCCTATCTGTTCTTAGATAATAAATTATTCTCGATTTTATTATTTCAAAAAGGTTTCTATTAAAGCCATACCTACTGATTCCCTCTTCTGACACAATATAATTTACTGGCAATAAATGTTCATAAACAGTTTGAGTGAAAAATCCATAAAGCCATTTCAGTTTTATTTTAAGTTCCATTAATGTCCCTCAAAAATGATTTCATCAATGTGTTTCCATTAGATGGTTCTCTGCCCAATAACTTAATTCCACACAATCAATTAGGAACTTATAAAGCATGTGACAGGATCTATCTAAAGTGTTTTGAATCACCATAAAGATTAGCTCAGTGGTTCTTTTTTCCTTGCAGTACAGGTAGGGGGTAAACTTGTCAAAAAATCTCAAATCCCCTCCATTGCCATAGTAACAAAAAGCCAGCTTCTCCTCTCGGG